ACACTTTGATCGTTTTCATCGCCGCCTTGCCCTGCTCTCCTGCCTGGTTTCACTTTTTGCTTGTTTTATTTCCTGACAGGGTCCTGCTGTGTCCAGCAGGACTTGAAGTCACGAAATAGCCGAGGCAGACTTCAACCTCCTTGCAATGTTGGTTCCTGCCTCAGCCTCCCAAATGTTGGAGTTACGGGCATACGGCACTCTGACACCCAGCCTAGTTCACATTTTTGAGAGGTTTCAACATATATAGTTTTCCTTTATCATATGCATCCCGTCATTAACCCACCCTTACACCACCACCACTTATCCCTTTCCTCTAATAATGATTTCCATTCTAATCTCTTGTCATCTTTCAGACTTGCATATTCTGAAGAACATAAGATGTTTGTTTTTCGGAGTCTTACTTCACTCTACATGATGTTTCAGAATCCATCCTTTTCTTTAAAAGGGGAAAATTTTGTTATTTATGGCTGAGAAATGGTCCAGTGTGTGTATATATACCACATTTTCTTTTTGTAATCATCTTTTTTTCTTTTTGTAATCTTTTTTTTTTTTTTTTTGAAGTACCAGGGATCAAAGTGAGGTCCTTGCACTTGCCAGGCAGGCACTTAGACCACGGAGCCATTTCCCCAGCCCTAGATCTTTCTTATTATTGACAGCCTAGTCTACCCAAATCAGAGAGCAGGACGCTGTCATCTGTTGAGATAGAGTCTAAGTGCATAAAAAACAACAACCGAGACTTTGGAGGAAAGAAGGGGTGAGTGGCTCAGTGGAATAAGCACTTCCCTGGCAAGTGCAAGGGCCTGAGTTCAATCTGCGGTTCCACAAAAAAAACAACAAACAAAAAATAATAATAATAATAATAATAATTCAGGCTGGCTTAAGCTCAGCTGTGTAGCCCAGGCTGGCCTCCATCTCATGATGCTCCGCCTGCCTCAGCTGCTCATGTGCTAGGCTTGCAAGCATGCACCACCATGCCCAACTCAATAGAGACATTTTGAATTTTTCTTTGTTCTCAGTAGAAATAATTTTGAACTTATATGTATTGTGGGGGCAAATAGGCTAATATTATTAGAACCTATTTTCACTGTAAAAGATTTTAAAAATAGAAGGGACCAGGGACATAGCTCAGCAAACACAAAGTCTTGAGTTTGATCCTTGGTACTGGGGAAAAAAAAAGCAAGAGATTTAAAAACTATAAAAGAAGGGAAACTAATGCCAAATGTGACTGGTAATACCAGCATGAATTAATGATTTTTAAAAATACATATTTCTGGGGTTGGGGAGACGGCTCAGTGGAATCAGCGCTTCCCTGGCAAACGCAAGGGCCTGAGAGCAATCTTCAGTTCCACCAAAAAAAAAAAAAAAAAAAGAAGAAGAAGAAAAGAATACTTGTTTCCTAACTGTATCTGTTGGAAGGGCACAGCAGTAATGACAGTCAATAACAGCGAGCACACTTAATTCCAGGAACCTGCTTCTTACAATGAGCCGGAGCTTGGATGTCTTACGTACATTTCACACTGCAGAAAGAAAATTACCTGACACTCGAAAGTTAAAGGAGGGAAGATTTATTTAGTGCATAATTTATAGAAGTTTCAGTTCAATAGTTAGCTGGCTCCCAGGCACGGCAGAGGGGCATCCCAAAGAAACAGCTCCTGCCGGCCGAAGGCAGATAGCAGCAAGCAGCAGCAGCCCTCTTTCTGCCCTTATATTCTGTTCAGGCAGAATTCTGTTCCCTGCCCTTGAGGTAAGCAGTGCTCACACCCCTGGAGGGCCTCCCATAACCCTCACCAGAGCTGTGCCAAACAAATCTGGACTGATGTAATCCCAGCCTTCATCCCAGCACCACGCACTCAATCCCAGTATCATATGCTCTAGATCCAGCAACCTGTGAGAAGTCCCACCTCCAAGCGCACGGGGCTTTGGAGTCATCTGGACATAAGCCCTAACAGAAAGGCTATCTCCAGCTGTTCGGCAGGGAAGCCCCAAGGTGAGATTAGAACACTTCATGGTGCTTAAAAGCAAGCAGAGAATTGCTTGAGAGTTCAGTCATGTCAGAGGGACACAGATGTGTGTTTGAAGAGTTGGATGAATTCAACACAGACAGCACTAAACACAGGCCCATAATCCCAGCACTCCAGAGGCTGAGGCCGGAGGACCACCATGCGTTCGAGGCCGGCCTAGTCCACGTAGTAAGACCCTGTCTCAAAAAAAGAAAGAAAGAAAAAAAAAAAGTAAATGCTGATGGCAGTGGATAAAAGCTTGATTTTAAAAAAACAAATGGTAGAGTCTGGGTAGGGAAAAAGAAGGGGAGGAAAAAGCTCATGTTTTACAGAAGCTGTGCAGTAAGTACAGAAGGGAAAGGTAGATTTGAAAATACACTATTTTGGGCTGGGGAGTTAGCTCAGTAGACTAATCTGCCTGGCAAGCACAGGGTCCTGAGTTCAATCCCTGGTACTGCAAAAAAAAGAAAAAGAAAATTCACTGTTTTAGTTTGTAACCCCAGTACAAGTGATTCAAGCAAGGATTATCACAAATGAATTCTAAATGAATTTCACACAATAGTGTGAAAGATTATTGGGAAGCAAGATATTATTGGGGCTGGTGAGATGGCTCAGTGGTCTAACACACCTACTTAGAACAAGCTTAGCAAAGCACACAGAGACCGCGGTTCAATCCCCCAGCACCACATGCCAGCCAGCCCCTCACCCTGGTGGGCTGAGCTGGCCACATACACACACACACACACACACACACACACACACACACAAATAAATAAAATTTTTTAAAAAAGATTATTGAGTAGATGTTTTACAAGGGTTAATCAAAATATATGGTTAATGTTTAAATTTTTTTGTTATAGTAAAACACGTTGCCATTGATCCCTTGTTTTGAATGCACTTAGCCCATCCTCCTGCCAGTTTTCAAAGCAGTTCTGGAGTCCTCTTATGAATGTCCTTGCAAAGTAATCAAAACTACAGTGACTGCTGCTGACACCAGGTGTCACACACCCAGTGGGAAGGCAGGCGGGTCAATATCATGGCTAGTGGTCTTCTGGTGTGCTCACAGACCCTGTACCCTGCAGCTTCTGGCTCAGCCCCAGGCTCCCCAGGAAAGGTAAACAGATTTAATTGATGGAGAAATCTTAAAAAAAAAAAAAGAAAGAAAGAAAAGCCGGGGCTAAGCAGATGGCTCAGTGGAATAAGCGCTTCCCTGGCAAGCACAAAGGCCTGAGTTCAATCCCTGGATCCGCAAAAGAGAGAAATCTGTGCAGCAGCAATAACAGCCCAACTACTTTTACTAAAGCACAGAGACCCGGGTTCGATCACTGGCGTGCTGAGAGGGCGACAGACAAGGCATGGTGGCGCTTGCCTGTACTCCCAGTGCTTGGGAGGCTGACAACAGGAAGATCAATAGGAGTCTGAGCTGCATAGTGAGACCCTGTACTAAATACAAAAAAATAAAATAATGGTAATTTGATACCGGTTTCCTATTGTTATGGTTCAGTAAGAGGTAGACTGGATTCCTGCTAAAAGTAATTAGTTTGTGTTGTACGACACGTCTTAATTGATGGAGAAATCCTAAAAAAAACTGAAAAGCCAGGGCTGGGCAGATGGTCTCAAGTGTGAGATAATTTATGACTACCCTGGACTCAAAATTCATTGTCATTGGAAGCAACATTGAGGGGAAGGAGTCAAGGGAAATAATCTCAGTTATTAAAGAGACCTAATCAAATGCATATAAACCTTAATTATGAAGAGAACAGCAGCGAGGTCTGGTGGCACGCACCAGAAATCCCAGCACCTGGGAGGCTGAGGCAGGAGGACTGGCCAGTTCGTGAGCTCAAGGCCAGCCTGAACTGCAGAGTGAGACCCTGTCTCAAAAAGACAAAAAGAAAAAAAAAAGCAAAATATGATATTTTGGTTAACAACTGGAAAAATTAAGTATTGCCCATATATTAGGTAATATAATGGGATGTGGTCCAGTGAAGGTACACAGAATATATCTGTTTTGGGAGATGCGTTTGGAAGCCAACAGGAAGAGACATGGCAATGTTGATAATTGCAGACTCTTGGGGAAGGGTACACAAGAGTCCTTGGTATTACTCTTTTCAGTTTCTATGTAGATTTCAAAAATCTTCAAACTAAAAAGCTGAGGAGAAACTGCCTTAAGTGGTATCTAAGATAGTCCCGCTAGCTCCATGGTACGTGTACTGCTGTGTGAACCTGTGATCCTGCTGGTTTGTCTATAAGTCAACACATGTGTTGGTTTGGACAGCAGGTTTATACAGTGGCGGATCTGTCTTTTCCCAGGTGCCTTGGAGCACTATGTTAGCTGCCTGGATCTGGTAAACAGGAAGCTGCCTTACGGGCTTGCCCAGGTTGGAGTGTGTTTTCATCCTGTTCCTGACACTCAGCAGATACCTGGTGGTGGCAAAAGGTATAAAATGTGGCAAGCATCCTGGCCTTGTGTCTTGGTTACTGTTTCCTCATTGCTGGGACAAAATACCCCACACCCAAAATGAAAGGAAAGATTTCTTTAGCTCACAGTGAAGGTTTCAGTCCATAATCAGCTGGCTGCATGGCAGAGTGGCACGTGGCAGAGAGCAGCCGTCCATGGCAGCGGAAGACAGCCAGAAGGGAGGCGCAACAGCAGCAGGGGCAGAGGCGAGCCTCTCTCCTTTCCTTATGTTGCCTTCCGGCTGTCTGCCCCAGGGAGGGCGTTGCACTCACACCCATATTCCCAGCAGTGCTGGATCCATAATCCCAGCCTTGATTCATGAATTAATCCCAAACTCTAGAACCAGACCCCGGTGGCTCCATGAGACTTTGGGGGGACTCTCCATTTTAGTCAAAATGGTTCTGTAATTTACAATCAGGCTCAGTGTGTGCTGAGAAGAGCTGGCATAGGCGTTTTGGCCCGGCTGCTCTCCTCCTTTTTCCTGGCTCTTTTTCTTGGTAATCCTGAGGATTGAACCCAAGGCCTTCTTTCATTGTTCCAGATGACACGGCTACCTTAGTAGACTCCTGTGTCAGAAGCCTTTCTTCACGAGCCTCTGTGTTCAGGTAGAGCTCCAGCCCCTCACTGGCTGTTCGGCTGATGTGAAGTTTGACTCTTGCCCACTTTTACAACTTCTGCTTTCAGTTCCTTTCGCAGTGAGCTCTCCATTTTAGTCAAAATGGTTCTGTAATGGTTCAGTTTATGTGCACATAAACTGTAACATCTTGTATTGAAATAATTAGGAACCAGTCTTTTAGGAGAGACTATAGTTTTCAGATGAGCTAACTAATAATATTCTTTCTACCTAAAGAATTGGTGAGAAGACAGAAGCTTCATTGGTATGGTTCACTTCTCCAAGGACTTCAAGCCAGTGGCTTGATTTCTGGTTGCGTCATCGACTGCTGTGGTGGAGAAAGGTATTCTGATTAATAGTTAACACAAGTTTTCTTAGTGTGTCAAAGGTAATGCTCTTGTGTTACAGATGAAATTTGATTTGATACAGCTGTATCACATTTGTAAGAGATAGCTAGACTAAATCAGCAAATATGAGTGAAAAGCTTGGCCATGATTTTCATTGGTCCAGATGACACGGCTACCTTAGTAGACTCCGGTGTCAGAAGCCTTTCTTCACGAGCCTCTGTGTTCAGGTAGAGCTCCAGCCCCTCACTGGCTGTTTGGCTGATGTGAAGTTTGACTCTTGCCCACTTTTCCAACTTCCGCTTTCAGTTCCTTTCGCAGTGAGCTCTCCATTTTAGTCAAAATGGTTCTGTAATTTACAATCAGCCTTAGTATATGCAGAGAAGGCGTTTTGGCTTGGCTGTTGTCCCTCTTTTTCCTGGCTCTTTTCTTGGTAATCCTGGGGGTTGAACCCAAGGCCTTCTTATTGGGCAGCATCTCCCACCCCTTTTAAAATTTTTCGAGACACAGTCTTGCTAAGTCGACCAGGCTGGGGCCAAACTTGTGATCTCCCTGCCTCAACTTCCAGAATACTCATTCATACTTAATTAAATTTCAGTTTTTGAGACTTGAATATTTGTAAGTAGTTGCTGGATAAACAGTCTTAAACAGCTTTAATTCTTAGAAATGACTGCATGATTTGAAGTAAGTTGGTGTTTATTTTAAGAAGTTCTTTTTGTTTTTTGGCTTTTGTTTTTTTTTTTTTGCGGAACCAGGGATTGAACTCAGGCCCTTGCGCTTGCCAGGGAAGCACTTACTCCACTGAGCCACCTCCCTGGCCCCAAGAAGTTTTAAGATACATTTTCTTTTCCAGTTTGCCATGAGCCCGTCTAACTTCAGCAGCAGTGACTGTGAGGACGCGGAGGGGCGGAGAGGAAGCCGCCTTTACTACAGCTTTCCCTGGGGGAAGGAGCCAGTGGAAGCGCTATGGAACCTGGGCGATAAGGAGCTCCTGCACACGTATCCTGCCGACGTGGCCAGATTACACGTATGCTCCTTCAAGCTTCTGTGTGCTCTTCTCCCGGATTATCTGTGTTCATGTCTGAACTAGTTCACAGTAGTTCCAGGCGTGGAGCCCCAAGACCCCTCAGTGCCTTGATCTGTTTCAGGGGACACACAGTGGAGTCTTCAGAACCAGGAAATTAACAGTAGTCCACGCTTACATTCCACAGAACCCTTCAGAGCTACCCAGTCAGGATCACGTGTGTCAGGAAGTTGTCATTTCCGAGTCTCCTTCGCAGGGACAGTTCCACTTCTTCCTACTCTGCCATGATCCTCATACCTATAAAGAGTGCAGGCTTGTTGCTTTGTAGGATGTCCCTTGTCACAGATTTGTTTGTTTCTTTGTGGCTCCTGTATTTTTACTGGGAGCAGCACAGAAGCAGGGGTGCCGTCTTCGAGTGCACTTGTCAGCTGGCATAGGTGTCTGGGCGTTCCTGAAGACATGGCCTGTGATCACTGCCTACCAGTGTCTGCTAGCTTCTCCGGTGTGCAGCTGATAAATCTTTTGTAAGGCTGAGAAGGTAGCTCAGTGGCTTAAGCACCTACCTGGCAGGCACGAGGTCCTGAATTCGATCCCTGATGCCAAAAAAAACCCAAAAAACCCTGTTAAATCTTTTGTGGATATAACCTCTTAGTCACCAGAACTTTATAGCTGGTGGGGAGCTCCACTGATGATTCTTGCCCAAGTCAATTACTACATTTGTGACTTTGCTTTAGTTTTTCGGTAATACTGTCATTCCTTCTAGATTATTGGTTAGCACTATGCTACAGGATAAAGATTTCCCTTCTTCCCCGTTTGTTTATTTTTCATATTGGTATGGACTCCCAGATTCCTATTTTTCTCATAGGATTATAATCTGCTACTGTAATGTTTATTTATTTTTATTTATTTTTCCTGTATTTTAGGGAAGGGTCTACAGGGTGTCCAGGGTCTCACTACTAGATCGGACTCGTAGTGATCCTCCTGTTTACAGTCTCCCAAGTGCTGGGATTACATTTGCACACCACCATGCCCAGTCTCATCTCCATCTCAGTGCGCCCTGTGGGATGGTGCTTTAACCCACTGAGCTATTTAGCCGGCCCGCCTACAATGTTTATTTTAATATTCAAAGTGCCCTAGAGTTGGCCAGTATCCTTTTCTCATTCTCTGTACTAGTACTTCAGTAATTTATTTTATACACACACACACACACACACACACACACACACACACGAGTTCCCATAACCCTCACACTGAGCTACATCCCCAGCCCTCTTTTATTTTGAGACAAAACCTACTGGTTGCTCAGGCAAGACTTGAACTTGCCTCAGTCTCCCAGAGTGCTGGGGGTGGCTTGCAGGTTTGCTCAGTTGTTTAAGTGCATGCTTGGGCAAACCTGGTCAGGTGCAGGAGACCATGGTTCAATCCCCAGCTCCACATGCCCTACCAGACCTGCCCTTACGGCAGCCTGAGCCAGGCAAAGAAAAAATCCTTCTCAACTTTAGGGGGGCTTGTGGAGTAGCTCAGTTTAAAGCTCCTGCCTGGGCAAACTCAGTCAGGCGCAGGGGACCGCAGTTCGATCCCCAGCTCCACATGCCATACTAGATCTGTCCTTAAGGCAGCCTGAGCCAGCCAAAAAAAGAAAAAGAATCCAGAGTGCTGGAGTTACAGGCATACATCACCATACCCAGCTGAGTCCTTCCTTTTTATAAGAATAGAATGTTGGGGCCGGGGAGATGGCTCAGTAGAATAAGTGCTTCCCTGGCAAGCACGAGGGCCTGAGTTCAAGCCCCAGTTCCGCCAAAAAAAAAAAAAAAGAATAGAATGTTAAAAAATCATCTAACATTTTCTTGACCTAGGTGTGGAACCAGCCTTTTCTCCAAGGAAATTGTATTTGTAAACTGCAGCTGGCCACGAATGTCCTCCTTAGAATTAAGTAGCCCTGTCTCTGGGCCCTCTTGGACACAGCTGGAGTATACTGTACAGGATCGCAAGCGTTTACACACACACTTATTTTGGTGGTGGTGAGCCTTGAGTGGAGGGCGTTCCCACCTATTCCCACAGCCTTAGGTGCGGTGTTTAAGCCAGGGTCTCACTGTGCAGTCCAGGCTGGCCTCGAATTTCCTGTGTAACCCAAGCTGGCCTCGAGCTCTCAGTGGTCCTCTTGCCTCGGTCTCCTGACTGCTGGGAGAGCAAATGTGAGCCACCACGCCCGGCTGCCTTTCATTTCGTGTGCACAGCCAGTCTCCCTGCCACACCTTGGCCGAGAGCCCAGGTACCCAGTCATCCATCCGCACCCCACTGTGGACGGAGGCTCTTGGCCCCGGGAAGAGAAGGCCACTGGCGAGCCTGGTCTGGGGCCTGCTGCTCTCACTGGAACCCAGGGAGGAAGAAAGGCAGTAGGAACATGCTCGCCACACTCAGCCTCCTCGCTTCTCCCCAGTCACCCAGGCCCTGGGCTGGAGGTACCTGCCACTGGGTAAGAGCTCAGACCTGCGGGAGGGGAGGCAAACACACAGAAGCACAATGGTGCTTCGCTGAAGGTGAAACAGACTTTTCAGCAATTTGGGCACATGATATGATTCCTTTGGAGAAGGAATCCTGCCTAAAACTTTCCCTTTTTGGAGAGGTAGAATAGTGTTGTTCTGCTCAAGCAGTTCTAGATTTGAATAGATAGATGTTTTGACTTGCAGATAGAATTTTTTTTTTAAATTGACATCAGTTATTTTTATTTTAAAGAAAGAAAAAAAAATAAACAGTGGTACAAAATCTCAAAACAAGATTTTAGGAGAGTAACAATGGTTAATACATTGTGTATTGTTATTCCAAAGTAGTTTCTCATATTACAAGATATAGGCAAGAAATAATAAGCAAATAACATAGGTACAAACCTCTTTTTTTTTAAGTCAACAGAAAATGGAAATATACTTTTTAAAGTTTCTAATACTGCAGATAGAATTTTTATTTATTTGTTTTTGTCTGTAGAGATGGAGTTATTATTGTATTGTTTTGTGTCTAACATAGTCTTACAGTGGAAAAAAAGGAAGGCACTTGAAGATAACATAATAAGGAAACAATAGTATTGAATGTTCCTTGTCTTCAGTGGTTGGGACCAGAAATGTTTCCAATTTTTGAATTTCTAAGGTTTGGAATATTTGCATCCAAATGAGATGTCTCAGGAATAGAACCCAAATCTAAACACAAAATTTATTTCTATTTCATACACACCTTGTTTAGCCCGAGATGATGTTGCAGTTTTTAGGGTTCCTGTGTTTTGACTTCAACCCCTCACATGAGGTCGGGGTTGAGCTTTCCTCTTGTGTTGTGTCCTTGCTCATTTTCAGATTTTGGATTTTGGATTTTGGGATTAGGAATGCTGCACGTAAAGCTCACGTGCAGTGCACTCCAAGTAGGTTAACGTAAGCATGAGCGGAGCCCTGGTGAGCAGCTCGCGCGCTCACTTGTGAACGTGTCTCATGACCCAGCAGCATTGCACACTATTTTGGGTGC